TACCTGAGGCACCATGTTCTTGAAGGACTCCATGATCTTGGAGCTCTTGGCCTCCTGGTAGTAGGAGAAGCAGCCGGTGATGATGACCACGGCGGACAGCACGATGCCCAGGTACAGCTGAGGGCACAGACAGGGCAGAGGGCGCGTTAGTGACCGCTCCGCGCCCAGGCCGGGGCCACACTGCGGGCGCGGCTGGCTGGCGGACTCACATTGTCCCCGGCGGGCTCGTCCTCAGTGGCTGCCTGGATGCCGTAGGCCAGGAAGCAGAGGATGGCGCCGATCCAGAGCAGGATGGAGAAGCCCCCAAAGAGCTGGCGGCAGAACTTCACCCACTCGGGGGTGGTCGGGGGCGGCGTCAGGGCGTTGGGCCCGTCCCGGGTCAGGACCTCAGCGGCGCGGGCCAGGGTGAGACCCTGAGGGCGAGGAGGAGAGACGGCTTGGTCACACGCTGCCCCCAGACCCATGGGTGGGTTCAAATGCAGGTTAACCAGTGTCGCCCCCTTGGGGTGACTGCCGGTAAGTGCTGCCTGGCTCACAGGTGAGAGGGCGAGAGACCTGGAGAGGTGACGCTGTCCTGGAGGTGTCTGTGCGAAGACACACACACAGACCCTTCCTGTAGATCCAGACGGCGGAGGCATTTCTATGGTAGTATCGCAGTATGGACACAGCAACGGTTATTTCAGCTCTTTACGCTGCTCTGCCAGAGAGTACAGTCCCTTGTTGCTACGCACAGCAGAAACACAGCCACAAGTCACACTAACTAGCATAGAGAGGACATTAGCTAGCCACTATGATAAAGGAATAGATGACTTGCTCCTTGTTTGTTTCTTGTGCATATTTATGTGAACATTTACATGGATCGCACAAGCATGGAAAAAAGGTACAATCCCTAGCTCGACGGGCGTTTTCTTTCTCGCTGCGGGGGTGCTCACACTGGCGCTGGTCTGATATCACTCCAGCGCTGTCTGTCATTACAATTGGGCTTCAACACAACACAACACAGGTGCTCAGATGCGGGTGTGTGTGTAAGGGAGTGGGGTTTTCAGTGTGGATGTGTGCTCAGGGTGCCCAGGTGCCGGTGTGTGTGTTCAGGCGCAGGTGTGTGTGTTCAGGTGCGGGTGTTTGCTCAGGGTGTTCAGATACAGGGGTGTGTGTTTAGGTACAGGTGTGTGTATTCAGGTGCAGGTGTATGCTCAGGGTGTTCAGGTGCAGATGCATGCTCAGGGTGTTCAGGTGCAAGTGTGTGTGTGTTCAGGCGCAGGGTTGTTCTCAGGGTGCTCAGGTGCAGGAGTGAACAGGTGCGGGTGAGTGTGCTCAGGTATGGGTGTGTGTTCAGGTGCGGGTGTACGCTCAAGGTGTTCAGTTACGGGTGTGTGTGTTCTGGTGCTTGTGTGTGTGTTCAGGTGCAGATGCTGGTTCAGTCCTGCTCTTCTGTGCCCTTGAACAAGGACAGATACCCAGACTGTCCCAGCTGTACGACTCCAGCAGATATCTGGGCACTCGTGCCAGCCAAAGAAACTGACAGCGTGCAGTACGTGTGAGCGCCTCTCACAGACAGGCGCAGTTCCCGGTGTCGGCAGCAGGGGGCAGCGAGCGCTCACCTGGACGATGTCTGTGTTGTATTTCCGGCACACCTCCTCCACAGACATCTTGTGTTCCGTCTAAGGGCAGGAGAAGAGGGATTGAGAGAAAATTCCATGAATTCAGACAGTGCTCTTCTTCCCAAAGGATCCCCAGGCACTTATCACACAGTAGGGGACCCCCTCATCCCCCACT